ACATGTTATACATTTAAGCACTACTAAAAGCAAATATTCACTTACCCTATTTAGAAGTTCCTTCATTTTTAGTCTGTGGCACATAAAATTCCTAAAATTATCTGAACTCGTATCCGTATATCGGCGTCGCCACATAAATTCACAAAAATAAGAAAAAAAATATCCTGCGTAGTTCCCGACTGTCGATGACACCTTTTTCGAAAATCTCTCTTAACCACACTTCCGTTTTGATGATTTTCTAGTTCGCTTCGTACACCCAGAGCCACGTAAAAATCAAAATATCAATCATATTCAAATGACTTTTTTCAAACCAGGTACCCTTTCTGATCGAACGCTTCACGTAGTGACCATCTGAACCTTTCTTCGTACAAACCCATTCAAATCTATCTAAACGGTTTTTACGTTCGACTAGACGCATATCCTTCCTACATACAGGACACTTATAATGACTACTAAGTAAACCTTCATTTACAAAGCACTCAATTAACGCTCTTTTTCCCTTTTCGCTCCAAATCGTACAGAAACTTCAAATTAATCTTACTACATTTAGCCATTCTACCGTCTAAACAATAAAACCAAAACACACCACAATAGCGCTTACAAAAACATCCTATGATTCAAAATTTCCCAGAATCATGCACCCGATTACGTCACAATAGGGTTTCCATAACATTCAACTACTCAGGCTACCATAAATGAAACAACAACTTCGCCATAATACAAGGGGTACCTTAAAGTCTACTCTAACCGACGAACAATGAGTGTAATGCTACAACATACAAAATTAAAAACAGCAATGTAAGGAACCAAAAACATAAGCTCTTCCTTGCTACTTCCGAACATGCGAATCTGTTGGATTACCACATGCGAACTATTATTGACATTGTTGGCAGGATTTACATTTACTGGGTTCTTTGCAGAAGTGCTTCCAAACAAGTTACACTTATTGAAACATCAAAGTTTAATATATTTGGGTCCGATGAACAAATTAATATAGGCTCTAGTGTAGAATTGGGTGCCCCTTCAATTAGGGGCAAATTTTGTTCATTTTTTTGCAATAAAACCCCATTTCTGGTTACCATGCTAGTTTTAAATTTCAGATTTTTTTAAAGTGAAAATAAATTTATGTGTACATGGACAAAGTTAGGGCAGTGCGCAATGCCTAGCTTGTGCAATTCTGTGATGTTTTCTAAAGTGAAAATAGATTATGTGTACATGACACTGAGTTTGTCCAATTCTTTGACTTCTTATTTTGTTTTTAAGTAGTGGCCATCTTGAAATTGTGCCTTCCTGACGCCAAAAAACAAGGGGCACAAAATTGTACATTTTTCTTAATACGGCAAAATCTGTTTTAATAATTAAATTTGTAAACCCTATCGCATACTGTTATGCAGGTAGTAGAGGAACCGTGATTTCAGGATGTTTCACTGCTTTTGGAATATTAAACTTAGTATTTATAAAAATAACATGGATTGGTTAGTTAGCTTTAAGGTACCCCTTGTATTATCGCAAAGTTGTTTTGTTTATCGCCAAGTTGTTGTATCATTTATGGTAAGCTGGTTGAATGTTATGGAAACCCTATTATGATGTAATCGTTTGCATTATTCCATGAAATTTTGAATCGTGGGATGTTTTGCAAGGGCTTTTGTGGTGTGTGTTGCTTAGAAGTACATAGCTTGTTTCACTGTTTAGACGGTACAGTGGCTGAATGTAGTAGGATTAATTTGAAGTTTCTGTAAGGTTTGGAACGAAAGGGGAAAAGTGCATTAATTGACTGTGTAAATGAAGGTTTACTTAGTAGCCATTTTCCGGACAGTGCAGAACTATGTTTTTGAATCTTATTTTTATGAATTTATGTGGGGATGCCGATATACGGATTATAGTTCAGATAATTTTAGGAATTTTTTGGATGCTGTTAAAGGAAGCTTTGTGTGCCACAGACTAAACGACGAAGGAACTTCTAAACAGGGTAAGTGGATATTTGCTTTTGTGTAGTGCTTTTAAATGTATAACAGGTTTTTCCTTTTTTTTATGCTATTTTATTTTTATTTTTTGTTTGGTTTAAAAATGTAGTTTATTGAGATTATGTACTTCTTTGTTTGCCTCTACTGTAAAATTGGGTGCTCCTTTGACTTTTTAAGTGAAAATATATCGATGTGTACATGGACAAACTCAAGGGAGTGCATAAGGCATAGTTTGTGCAATTTTCTGATGTTTTTTTTAAGTGAAAATAGGTTGATGTGTACACGGACAAAGTCAAGGGATTTTTTTTCAAATGAAAATAAGTCGATGTGTACATGGATACCTAGTTTGTGTAATTCTCTGATTTTCTTTAAGCGAAAATAGGTCGATGTGTATATGGATACAGAGTTCGTGCAATTCTTTGTGTTGTTATATTGACTTTGAGTAGCGGCGATTTTTGCCCGAAAAATCGCTGCTACACAAAGTCAAAATAACAAGTCAAGGAATTGCACAAATTCGGTATCCATGTACCACCAAAAATCGCCGAGGGGTACCCTAAAATATACTTTTACCCATGGATTGATATAAACATATAAATATTCTTAATGAAATCTTGTCCTATCAGGATAATGATGCTGAACATACATCCCTAAATGTCCACTTGTGGTTATTATACAACTATCTTAAGTTACCAAAACTTTTTCATGTTTTGCAGGCTTAAGTCCTACAGAATATGAATGAAGGGAGTTAGAAAAAAGAATAAGGACATGTGATACATCTTTGAAAGCTGTACTAAATGCTATTCTGGCATAGGAATGGAAAAAAATCAGTCAAAACCATAGTAAAGCACATGAGAAGTGTATTTTTTTTCTAAACGATATTCAATCAGTCCCTGCAGTTTCATGTTTTATTGAACATAAACTGTTTATTCAAGGCATGTGAATATTTATGTGAGGTCATTTTAAGAACTTTTTGAACAAATTATTTTTGTTTACTTAAAGTGTGTTGAACAACATTTTCCCACAGAAGCAGGTTTTAAAATAGATGATCAAAAGTGAATGAGAAAAAAAAATAAAGTCACTATACTAATACTTAGTACGCAATATTTGCAAATAAAAGTGAAAAACACCAGTGTCTGAAAAAAATGTGAGCCACTGTATAATTCAGGCTTAGCTTTGATACCTTGTATTCAAAATTTAGATTTCTTTTCCCTAAAAGGATATTGTGTACCTGAAACTTCGGAAACACAATCAAAGCAGAACAAAACATGTTTACATATACATACATGTATACTATTCATAATGTAAACAATGAAAATTGTATATACATATACAGTTAGTCAATAAAGTTCTCCGTACATCAAGAAAAGTAATATCAAATCCAAATTTTAAGGTACGAAAAGGGTAGTTTTCTTAAAGTTTTATTTTTAAATTTTAGTTTTCAATAAGGGACTTTGAAATTATTTAACTGTAATATTTTCATATTTAATATTTATGCACACTAATTTTAAAAGATAAGTGGCCAGAAATAAAAGCCAATAAAGTTTGCGTACAACGCGAAGGGAGGCGGGGGGATTTCTTATCTAACTTTTAAACTTCAAATTTGAGAATACAAAGAGAGGTTCACTTTCAAGGTTATTGACCTCCGAAGCAAATTTCATGTTGATTGGAAGTTGCTATTTCTATTTTCTTTGATGAAAATGACAACCAATAAAGAAATTCCTTTAGTTACGAGACAACTAATTATCAAATTGAGAGATGAAGGTAAAAAACTCTTTGTATATTTGTAAAAACCATTGGAAAAACCATTTCTAGTGTGCAAAGAGTTATTCAAAACTATCTTGACACTGGTAGTCTTGCTGTAAAACCAAGATGTGGGAGACCGAAGAAGCTAACGCAGAGAGAAGAAAGAAAAATTCTTTTACGAATTAAACAAAATCCTAAACTTTCTGCTGCAAGCATTGCAAAAGACACTTTTTTAACTAGCAACAAAAAAATTTCTTCTGCAACTGTACGAAAAGTGCTGCGAAAGTCCGATTATCATGGACGCAAACCTAAGTCTATGCCATACATTTCCGAGACAAATAGAAAGAAAAGAATTGCTTTTGCCAAAACATATTTAAACTCTTCGCAGGATTTCTGGAACAATGTAATTTGGTCAGATGAAAGTAAATTTACAATATTTAAAGTTAATGGCCACCCTATTGTATGGAGAAAACCAGGAACAGAACTGAATCTGAGAAATTTAAATCCAACTGTCAAACACGGAGTTGGCGGTGTGATGGTATGGGGGTGTATGTCATCGAAAGGAGTTGGAAATTTTCACATTATTGATAAAGTAATGGATAAATATGTTTATCTGGATATTCTATGAGAAATCTAGGAGACAGTGCTCGAAATTTAAACCTTTCTAATACCTTTATTTTCCAACAAGACAACGACCCGAAACATACAGCTAAAATTGTGAAGGAATATCTCCTCTATCACACTTCAAGACAGTTGCGTACTCCTCTACAGTCACCAGACCTCAATCCAATCGAACTTTTGTGGGCAAAATTGGAGAAACAAATTTAAAAACACAATATTACGTCGCGAAATAAGCTAATTAGTAAATTGCAGGAAGAATGGGCGAAATTTACGTCGGATGACACTGAAAAACTAGTTCAGTCAATGCCCAGATGTCTGCAAGCTGTTCTAAAGAATAAAGGATATCCTACAAAGTATTGAAGTAATGTAAAATACTTTTATTTTGCTTTTTTTTGAAAGTGTACGCAGACTTATTGGAGGAATTTCTGAGTTTTTTGACAAAATAATATTTTTGAAAAAATGTAAAGTATTACACTGATATTTTGCTTTTTATTTAAGCTTAATTTTAGCTAATAGAAGAAAAAAAATGCAATGATTAAAATACATTTTTCTATGCTTTAAGTGTTTTTTAAATTTAAAATTTAGTCTGTACGCAGACTTTTGTGACTAACTGTACGCATACTATTAATGATATAAACAATGAAAATTGTAGTTCTAATCGATTAGACTTACTTCTTTTATTTTATTCCTTTTCTCACGAATATCAAGATCAGTCGGTTCGCCCCCTCTAGTTCCAGGCCCTCCTGCATGATCCCTGACGATATCGTTTAATTCAGAGGCAGCAAAATCATTTTTCTGTATAGTCATTGGCATTTGAGCAACATTGTTTATCCATTGGTCTTGGGGTAATAAATCTCCATTATGGGATTTCGTTGAACTACCACTTATTAACTTATTATTTTTAACTAAAGGATTTTCTAGCTGTGCTTTGTCCATGTTTTCTTTTAAATTTTTCTGCCTCTCTCTCTCGAGGTCTTCCTGAATTTTTAAAATTAATTTAGCTCTATCAACTACTTTATGAGGATCTATATTATTTACATCGTGGTGTCGAATAAGATTTCCACCGTCATGATAATGTGGTGGTGGAGGTAATAATAAGTCTGAACCTGCATCTCGTATGTGACGATATGCAGTGTTGATAGAACTCGACCTCAATTCGGGAAGAAAAAAGAAAGTACCGATACACACTGCAACAAATGTACCAAGCACAAGAAGCACTATATATTTCTCTCGTAAACGAAGAGTTTTCCTCCCAGAGGAAGTAACAGGAGCGCCATTTATGTAGCGCTGATACGTCGGTAACACGGAACTCACCGCCATTTTACATGTCTGCAGTGTTTAAAGCGAGATAACAGAAGTTACAACGTGCAATGTTTTGTTTACACTACTAACCAACAGATGGCGTATACTATTGGAATGTCATCATTCAATTTGTTGCCAAACAGGAAAACTAAAAAGCGAATAAATATAGGAAGGGTAGCCCGCTAGAACTTCCGCGTTTTTTTTCCTCTCTCCTTTCATTTATTTTCTTTTTTCTTAAAATACTTCACTCAAATATTTGAAAATGTGATGTTATAAAATATACAGTCTAAAAGCATTTAAGTTGTGACAATTCCGATACTTAACCTTTCATTCCTTCTTTACCATAAGAGGCATCATAATCTTAAATATTTCACACTCAGCAACACAGCTTTAAAATGAAGAGGCTGAACATTTATTTCTCTAAAAATTTACTTATAAGCATAGAACTTTAAATATTATACAGGAATGCAATACTAACATACTTCTGTTATAATATACATCCAAATTCCAGTTATTCTCAAGTTAATAATTACATTCGCCACAATTATATACAAATAAACGCGAAATGTTTAGTACGATCACGACCTATATCGCACAATCTTAAAGATAAGTCGCATTTTTCGCCTTTTTTCTTTAATATGTATATAAACGATCTTCCCAGCCACAAAGATGCTGTAGCCTTGGCTACTAATGTTTAAAATTAATTTATGACTAGTAACAGCATGAATTAAAAACAAATAGCTAAGTTATTGCATTTTATTTTCCGGCTATCGAAATGCGACGCTACGAGCAACGTTTTGAAACCAAAACCTAGCAATCATGAATCAGAACTAGAACTAGTTGCCATTCAGCATAAAGAAATTTAAATATAAATATGAATATTAACAAAATATTAAAGTTAATTTTATAAAATAATTAAACACATGAACAAATATATGAAATAAAAAATAATTATTTCTCATGCAATAACTGGGCCACTACACTACTCCCCCACCAGTAACTAAGTTACGTTACGAAGATGGAGAAATAGGTAGTAACTAGTATTGCAGTGTTAACCACTATCAAAATAATTTAGTCAGTCCTTGAATCTAACAGGTAAACGTATAGTTCTGCCTGTGCGAGAAGGTTTTTGATTCACATCCGAATTTGAGTCCGGTCTCTGCAAATTACTGTAGTCAGGTTGTATCAACTGAGAATTTTCCTCAGCTAAAATATATGCTGGTTTCAGGCGATCCAGGGATACATTAACATGTTTTCCTTTTGTGCTAATAGTAAAATATTTGTCCTTGCGATCAATAACAGGAAATGGTCCTTCATAAGGAGGTTCCAAAGGTTTTTTTTATCCGATCTATTCGCTGAAACACATGAGAACAAGTTTTTAAGTCTTTATGGACAAATATCTGTTCAGATGAATTTTTACGAATTAGTCTCGGTCCAACAACTTCCATCTGTTTCTGGAGTTTATTAGCAAAAGTCTCCGATGCTGTCTGGATACTTGGTTCGCTGAAAAACTCGCCAGGAAGTCTGAGACTCTGGCCATAAACTACTTGCGCAATAGAATGATTGGTATCTTCTTGAATAGTGCTGTTGAATAGTTTACAAACCCAAAAGTACTGTTGGTAACGTGTCCGTCCAAGATATGTTGTTGTGGGCTTTTAATGCTGTTTTCAATGTTCGATGAAGGCGCTCAACATTGCCATTACACGAGGGGTGGTAGGCAGTAGTGTGTTGTAAATTGATGCCACAGATTTTGGACAAAGCTCGTAATGTATCACTTTTAAATTGGGATCCACGATCACTAATGAGTTTACTTGGCGTTCCGAAACGCGCAATCCAGTTGCTATAAAAGGTTCTTGCGACGTTCTCAGCAGAAATATTTTCTAAAGGAATTGCTTCCATCCAATTCGAAAATCTATCTATGCAAGTAAGACAATAAATATTCCCTTTAGATGGTGGAAGTGGTCCTATGAGATCGATATGGATGACAGAAAATCTTCCTGGTGATACTTCAAACTCACCTAATTTTGTTTTGGTGTGCCGATTGATTTTAGCTTTTTGGCAATGAATGCAGGTTCTTGTCCACAACTGTACATCTTTTTTTATGTTAGGCCAAATGAATTTTGATGTCATTAATTTCATAGTCGATTTTATTCCTGGATGTGATAAACCATGAATTCTTTGAAAGACGTGTTTTCTGAAAGCCTGAGGAATATACGGCCGAACATGTTTAGTTGATGTATCACACCACAAATATTTCCCCGATGGTAGAGAACATTGCTTGAAATTCAAGGAAGTAGTGGTTTGCAAACTCTTCAGTTCTTCATCTTGAGTTTGTTCATCAGCTATTTTATCATAATCTATCGATGAAATTTCATTAACTCTAGATAACGTATCCGCCACAATATTATTCTCACCTTTTAAATATTTGATATCAGTCGAAACCTGGGAGATGTATTGAAGTTGGCGAGCATGTCTAGGTGTTGCTTTGTCAAGTTTTTGACGAAAGGCGAATATTAAGGGCTTGTGATCTGTATAAATTGTAAATACTCTTCCTTCTAGATAATGCTTAAAGTGTCTAACTGAAAGATATATGCTTAATAGTTCTCTATCATAGGTGCTATATTTTTGCTGAGTATCACTTAATTTTTTAGAAAAAAATGCTATTGGCTTCCACGAGGAGTTTTCATATTGTTGCAACACTGAGCCAATCGCCGTATCTGAAGCATCTGTAAATAACGCCAGAGGTAATTCAGAATTGGGAAAAGACAACAGTGCCGTGTTCACCAGGTCATTCTTGCACGTTTCAAACTGTTTTTCAGCTTCTTCAGTCCATTCGATTTTACGTTTGTCCCTCTTTTTAGCTCCCTTGAGATACGCATGTAACAATGCTTGATTCTTCGCTGCATCCTTTATATAACGACGATAAAAGTTAAGTATTCCAAGAAAGGTTCTAAGTTCATGAATTGTTTCTGGTCGTTTGTAGTTAGTAATAGCTTGAACTCTTTCTGGCAAAGGACGGGAACCCTTAGGTGTAATTAGGTAGCCTAGAAACTCGATTTGGGGAACAGCAAAGACAGATTTTGAAACATTAATTCTTAACCCAAATGTATGTAATCTTTCGAAAACTAATTTAAGGTGATTTTCGTGTTCTTCATGGGTACTGGATGCAATGAGTATATCGTCTAAATAGGGAAAAACGAATTCTAATCCTCTAAAGACTTCGTGAATAAATCTTTGGAACGTTGCAGGAGCATTTTTTAAACCGAAACTCATTACATTAAATTCGTATAAACCGAAAGGAGTGATGATAGCCGTTTTACATTTGTCTTCTTCTGCAATGGGAATTTGAAAATAAGCTTTGAATAAATCAATTTTAGAAAAAATATTTGTACCTCTTAAAATATGATGAAAATCTTCAATGCGAGGAATTGGGTATCGATCAGGTATCGTCTGCGCATTCAATCGTCGGTAGTCTCCGCAAGGACGATATGAACCATCCTTTTTCGTAACAAGGTGCAAGGGGCTTGACCACTGGGAGTTTGATGGACGAATTATTCCATTGTCAAGCATAAATTTAAATTCCTCTTTAGCTATAGCTAAGCGTTTTGGATCGAGCTGTCGTGCCTTTGAATAAACGGGTTGACCAACAGTCGAAATAAAATGTGTAACACCATGTTTAATTTGTGTAGGAAAAAGGTTAGGTTTAGAAATTTCGGGATATTTCGACAGTAAATCGAAAATTTTTATGGATTTATTTAATGTGGTTACTGAGTAATCACTGGAAATAGCAGCGACATCACACTGGACACAAAGCTGTGTTACGCCATCAATTAATTTTTTCTTATTTATATCGACAAGCAATTTATATTTGTGAAGAAAGTCAGCTCCTAAAATACCTTTTGTGACATCAGCAATTATGAATGGAAACTGAAAATCACGACGTAATCCCAAATCAAGAGTTAGCGTTTTTATGCCATAAGTGGAAATATCTGTGCCATTAGCTGCATACAGTTTATATTCAGTTTTACATTTATTCTGTGAAGTAGCAGGAATTATGCTTACGTCAGCTCCGCTATCAATAAGAAAGTGCAAATTTGATCTTCGGTCACGAACGAATAAACGAAATTTGCGACAATCCTTCATATTTTCTGCAGCAGCGTTTGCCGCTGAACCTACTGCAGATTCGAGTTTTCCTGGTTTTTGAAATCGTTTTTTACCCAAGCACACGGAGGCTTGCATTTCTCTAGAATGAATTTTGCTCCAAAACGAAAGTGATAAAAACAAAATTTGCCAGTAGGGTCATATCGTTTACGAGGTTGGCTTCGAGATCGTGAACGTGAATTACGTAAATCCGAGTCCCTTCGTCTTGAGCGAATGGTTACTTGATCAATTTTTTGTTCAAGAAAGGTAATTCTTTGCAACAAATCATTTGCGGGAACAGAAGGAGCATTAGTACTAAATACTTCTGGTTTCCGATTCATATCACTAATTTTATCTGCCATAGACGCTAACTTGGTTACATCTTCATCACTAACTAATAATATATTTTTTATGGAGTCAGGTAGCTTCTCCAGCCATAAAGTTTTGATTAGATTTTCAGACACATCTGTAGTAGCAACTGATCTCAACTTCTGCAAACGTTGGCTTGGTTTCATGTCTCCAAGTTCGATACCAGTAATCAAACGTTTAATCCGTACATTTTCACTTTCTTTGAATAAATGTAATAACCTAATTTTAGCATCCGAATATTTTGTGGCACTATCGTTCGTTACAATGTCCCAAATATTTTCGACGAACTTAGGTTCAAGCTGTGAAACTAAATAATTAAATTTCGTTTCTTCTGAAACGATATTTCTAAGTTTGAACTGAGCTTCAACTTGAAAAAACCATATTTCCGGTTTATCAATCCAAAAAGGAGGTATTTTCACACTCACCTTATGAAGCTCCGGTGACTGTATCGTATCTTTCATAGCAGTTTCAGAAGAGTCATTTGTTGACATTTCGAAAATTAATCAGGGTCACCACGATGTAGCCTTGG